GTACGTGGAACGTAATGTCTGTGAAGACAAGCATTTCGTGGTTTCAGTGCCTGTACAACTGAATGACATTGTATTTGTATACTCTAACATTCATTTATGGCACTCCATGATTTTGAAGTAAAAGTGTAGTATTCGTATTGTATTTTTCATATAGTAAATGTTGATATTCTATTGCTTGTGCACACAGATGAAATAAAGTAAATATGTTTGCTATTGCCTGTCCACAGACGTTTATATTTGTAATAATCATTTTTTATATATGTGTTCTCTCAGACCCGGATAACACTAATGTAGATGGTGGTATACCAGACGTCCATGTAGAAGTTGGGATGTTGTTTGCAGGAAAAGATGAAGCCTATGATCATTATAAGAATTACGCAAAACGTATAGGTTTTCCCATTAGGATTAGGAGCTCAAAGAAAGACAAACAAGGAAACGTAACAGGAATGTTAATTCAATGTGGTCGTGCTGGAAATAGAGTTTCAAAGTCAAAAAATTGTTTGATGCCTGCAGCTACTAGTGCAATGTGTTGCAAAGCCCGAATCAAAGTAATGTATGACTCTGCCGGGTCATGGGTTATTTCGAAAGTGCATGAACAGCATAACCACCCTATGAGTCCTACCAAAACTAAAGCTTTTCGTTGCAATAGGAGATTGATTATGAGCGCGAAGAGAAAAATTGCAATAATTTATGAGAATTTATTCCGGTTGCCGGAATTCCTCTTCACAAAACCTACACCTCTGCCGTAGTAGAAGCGGGCAATTATCAGAATTTACCGTTCATTGAAAAGGATTGTAGGAACTACGTTGACAAGTTTCGCCGCTTGCGTTTAGGAAATGGTGATGCCATTGCAATTCAAAGTTTCTTTTACAAAATGCAAGCGGAGTGCCCCGGTTTTTTCTTTGCCCTTGATGTAGATGATGAATCTCGCCTTCGCAATGTATTTTGGGCGGATGAGCGATGTCGGTATGCTTATAGAGATTTTGGAGATGTGATAACTTTCGATACAACTTATCTCACCAATAAGTATGACATGCCCTTTGCACCTTTTGTAGGAGTAAACCACCATGGGCAATCCATCTTCTTCGGTTGTGGCTTAATTTCAAATGAGGACACTGACACATTTGTGTGGTTGTCTACAGAGTGGCTTGAGTGTATGGATGGTTGTTGTCCTAGTGGAATTATTACCGATCAAGATAGGGCAATGCAAATTGCAATTCAAATTGTTTTCCCAAATACAAGACATCGGTGGTGTCTATGGCATATAATGAAGAAGGTGCCTGAGAAGATGGGAGGGTTGACTGATAAAGATGAAGTTAGTGCTTGTTTACATGATGTTGTTTATGACTCCCAAACAGGTGCACAATTTGAGTTCGCATGGAGTTCTATGTTGCAAAGGTAAGCATTTGTTTTTTCCAAGTTCTGTTCAATATGACAACTATCGTAATATTCATGTTTTGTAATGTGCAGTTTTCATCTTAATGACCATGAATGGCTACATTGCTTACAATGAAAGACATCGGTGGGTGTCATGCTACTTGAGGCCAACTTTTTGGGCAGGGATGTCAACGACCCAACGGAGTGAGAGCATCAACGCCTTTTTGACGACTTTGTTCATTCTAAAACAAGTCTAAAGGAATTTGTTGATCAATACGGGCGTGCGTTGAAATGCAAAGTAGAGAAAGAGTTCCAAGAGGATGCTAAGTGTCTCATCAAAATGTTGCCTTGTGTGAGTATATATGCCACTAGAATTGCAAGATTCAAAATCCAAGTCTCAAAGAGGTTAGGAATGCGACTAGAATTGCAACTTGCTGCCAATTTGTGTTTTTCAAATCGATCTGAATAGAATCATAATTATTATCTTTTTAAAGTTGGTTATGCTGTACTAGGCAAATTTCAACAAACTTATTGACTGGTCATTCGAAGTAATTGTTTAATATTGTGCATTTGTGTGGTTCAAGTAGTAATGAACTAATTTTACCTTTGATTTTAGTTTTTCTTTTTCCAAAAGATTATTGTGCTGTATTGGGCACACTTCACCAAAGCAACCCCCTCCTACGCGCGAGCCACATAAACCCTCCTTATTCTTGGTAAGAACTTTAGGATCTTTATCATATTTATCTTAGCATGATATATATCTCTTTAGGAATGGGCGGTTTGTCTCAGTTGCTGTAAGTTTGTTTTCTGCCTTGATGTCTCTTTAGTTTCTTTATCTTCAATCAAAGAACTTGGTCCTATCTAAGGTTTGTATTGTTGAAGCTGATTTAATATTGATAATGAAACTTCTCTTTATTTTGTTACTTTCAACCTCTATAAAAACTAGACTATTTTTTTATACAGGTTGAATTAGTTAAAAAATTGGAGGTCATTCCCTTTGCTTTGCAAAATGCATGTTTGCTATTAAGAAGCATGTTGAGCATTTTGAACTAAATGTAGTTTTTCTTTCTCTTTTGGGCTATCACTTAGATGTATTGAGCAAAGAATTGCAAAATTTTGCTAGAATGAAACAAATTTGAATGAAAGATATTTCTGTTTAGCAACCAAAACTCCTCTCATCCAATATGATTAAGTTGGTCCTCATGGCGAGGATTTGCGTCTGTTTCTATGCCCTCTTTTTCTTGCATTTCATTTATTAATGAACCATTTGTGAAATTGTGCCTCTTTCAAGTTATACTTTGTGTCGGTTTTTATAATTTGTTACAAAACACAGGTAAGTCACCAAAATGATTAAACCGTGTTCTTTCATAATTTTTTTCAAGAGAGCAGCCTTTTCAGTTAAGTGATATCTTTCACTCCCTGGTAAGTTTTGGAAACCAGTAAGAGATAAATACAAATAAAACTAACACATGTGAAAGCCGTGGAGTGTATATTTTGAAAAGTAGATCGAAGACAATAAAACTAACACTGTTTTGAAGCAATAAAACTTTTAGAATGATATCTTATTTTGTGTTGTACTCCATTTAAATTTGAGTTTTTTCCCGAAATAATGCTAATTAAATAAATAATTCTCAAAATACTGCTGAGTTAAAAATAATTCCCAAAACATTGTCGGATTAACCATGATTTCTCTTGTAGTACAAGAGCCGCCACTTCAAGTGATGGCTTTTCTAAAGAAAACTCACGCAGCTAAGCAATGCCAAAGACAACAATGAATACTACGTATATGGTAATGGGGCGTACCTAAATTAAAAACTTCTCTTTTCATTGAAGTGTTGTAACTTTTTTATTTGTACTCTGATTGTTACACAAAATATATCAAAATTCATAATTTTTTATTATTTTTCATATGACACTAATATTGAACATATAAAATCAAAAAAAAAAATTAACACTTAAAAAATTTCTGCATATCTATTTTTAAAGTGTCATATACTTTTCATTTGTGTTCCGATTATTTTTTTGAGGACATAATATATAAAATTAAAAAATAATTTAACAATTTAAAAATAATTCTAAACCACACAAATTAATAGATCTTTTTTATTTTTCTATATGAAACATTGTTTTCCTATACATGATAATAAAAAAGAATAAGTTTTAATACTCCCTCCATTCTTTTTTATTAGTCCCCTTAGGGTTTGACACGGGATTTAATAATAAAGTAGTAGGGTAAGTATAGAGTGTGTAGGGTAAATGATACACTAGGAAAGATGGTATATTAAAAAGAGTAAAGTGATGATAAAGTAGGAAAGAGAGTGTATTAAGAAGAGTAAAGTGATGGTAAAGTAGGAAAAAGAAAGTAGTTTGTAAAAAGTAAGTGGAGTAAAAGTAATAAAAGTGGGGGTATTTTCTCAAAAACTTTCATTAAAGGGAAAGGAGACAAATAAAAAAAACGTCCCAAAAAGGAAAGAAAGACTAATAAAAAAGAACGCAGGGAATAATAAAAAAAGAGTAATAAAAAAGACTAATAAAAAAGACTAATAATCGGAATACAAATGAAAAATATATAGCACTCTAGAAATAGATACGCAGAATTTTTTGAAGTGTTAAATTATTTTTTGATTTTATATACTCCCTTCGTCCCAATTTGATGATCCAATTTCTTTTGGGCTCAAAGATTAAGGAAGTGGTTGAAAAGGTAAAAGTTGTGGTTGAGATTTGAGTAGAAAAAGGTGAAATGATGTGGACCACATATTTCTTTCCAAAAGGGGAAATGAGACTATCAATTTGGGACGGTCCAGAAAGGAAATACGGGATCATCAAATTGGGACGGAGGGAGTATTCAATATTAGTGTCATATGAAAGATAATAAAAAGTTATGAATTTTGGTATGTTTTTTGTAACAATCAGACTACAAATAAAAAAGTTATAACACTTCACAGAAAAGAGAAGATTTTTAATTTAGGTGGGCCCCATTACCATATAGTAGTACATACGGAGTAGTATTCATTGTTGTCTTTGACATTGCTTAGCCGCGTGAGTTTTCTTTAGAAAAGCCCCCAACTTGAAGTGGTAGCTCCAACGACGGTTAATGGACAATATTTTGGGAATAATTTTTATTCCAGCACTATTTTGGAAATTATTTATTTAATTAACATTATTTGGGGATTTTTTTTTTAAATTTGAAGTGACAATGCCTTTTTAATTTGAAGTAGGATTTATTGCGGGTGATAAACTCAAGAAAATATACTACGTATAAACTTAAAGGCCGTTTGTCAACTCCTTTTTTCGGCTTATTGGACTTATCAGCCAACTTTTTCACTAAACACGTAATTTTTGCTTTCACGCGCTGAATTGTGTAAGGTTGGGGTTATTTTCTGGCTGTATTGGCTGAAGTTATTGTAGATGACCATTTTAGCTATTTTTACATATTTTTTTTATTAATAAAATATATTTTAATTTTTTTAAAAAACAGCAGAATCAGCCAAAACAGTCAATCAGCCACTTCAACCAGAACTTCATAAATTTCAGCAGAATCAGCCAAAACAGCCGATTCTCGTTCTACCAAACGGGCTCTTAATTACCTGGTTGAATAAATGGCCTTTTTATTGTTTGACTCATATTATTCGAAAGGGGTTTCTTCAAGTTTGTCATAGCCCCAATGGAGAATGTTGTGTGGGTGTTAGCATAAAAGGAAAGCAATTTCTAGCATACTCCATTTAAAGCTGTAGAAATCTATGAAAGAGAAGTCAAAAGAGATTTGTAGTATCCCATGTAATATCTGATGTAGTCTTCTGCGGTTTTATTGGATTGACAAAGCCGAATTCATTCGAACTCGAAGAATCCGAGGTGGCGTCCGTAGAAGTCCTCAATTATGTCTAGGGGGCCTGAAATTCAATAAACCAATCAATATCAATATCAATATAGTATATCTATATCTACAATCTTATACTGAGTACTCGTAATAGTCAATCAGGCATTTTAGGGTAGAAAAATGTGTTGGTGGAATGGGTTTGTCTCTACCGTTTGTACAATCTTAATTGAGTTGCACATTAGCCTCTACCGTTTGTACACTTTGTTAATAGGTTTGTCTTTCCGTTTATCCCCCATAGCTTATCTCGACGGCAACATGGCGGTGGTGCCAAATTCGTCTCCTCTTCGTTGAACAGAAGCAATGGTTTCTCCCTCTATCTTCGCACAAGCACAAAATAGCGGCGCCATCAATTCATACAGATTTCCTTCTCTCAGCGGGCACAAAATAAGCCATGAGAAATCAGCATGGGTAGCTCTTCTTTTGCCGATTTTCAGGTGATGGTCTTGTTCCTTCTAAAAAAAGGCAGGCAAGCCGAGAGAAATAGCAGCAACCTTTTCAACTTTTTGAATTTAATAGTTTGATTTTAGTTATTATGAAGAGGCGGAGACAGATTTTCTTGATGACCATTTTCTAAAAAAGTCCTTTTAGTTGAGCTGGGCATTGGAAAGGAAGAAAGGGTTCGTAAACAGGCTATACCTTTCAAGCTTCTCTGCCCCTCTGTTAGTCAGGTTCAAGTTAATTTTGTGTTTTGTTGGCTACATCAAAGGCCACTCCTTGATATTCACATGGTTTTTCTTTTTAATTTTTTGTTCAAATAGCTAGGCAATCAAGATTATGTGATAGTATTGTAGTGTTGCTCTTTGTTTATTTATGGCATGAGCCGCTCAGAGCTATCCGTTTTTTATGTTCTCCTAATTTATGTTTTTGTTTATTATATGTCTGTTCTTTAATGACACATTTACGGCCATGATAACTTAGGGTCAAAGTTTGACAATATCTTGATTTTTATCCCCAAAAAACAACCTAGAAATGAACCACTTTTGACTACTCTCTGGTTTTTGTAATTTGTTGAGCTTGCTATGCTTTATAACAAGGGCTAGGAGTTATAGTTTGTGTGTTTTCACTCACTCCAACGCATGTATGATCTACATGGGCAATGGGTAGAATGATGTGTATAGAAACTTGAACAAGAGGCAAATTTGGGGACCAACCAAGGAGCAACTGGTTCATGCATATATCTTCCCTTGCTCTGTTTTTATTGAGGTTCATGCCTTTTAATGGATCTCCTGACTTGGTACTAATTTAAGTTTATAGTTAGAGATCTGTTTTTATATATGTTAAATGGTCTAGGGGCTACCATGTTTAGTTGATCACACCTCCAGATAACATAAAAAGCTTTCAATGCAAGTTTTTTCTTACAAGTTACCAGGCCGTGAACAAACAACTTTCAAAGACCATATTTTCAAAATGCATTCCATATTAACTACTCCTATAAAAGTTAGAACTGTGTAGTCTCAAACATTTCATTTTTTAAAAAGAGTTAGCCATATTTTGAAATTAGTGTGTTGCTGATTGCCTCTACTTTTGAATATTTTCAAATTTCCATTGTTTTTACAGTGAAATACTATCATAACAATGCAAGTGTTTTGAGATGTATACATTTTATCCTTAACAGATTCTATACTAATGTTTAGGCCCAACACTACATATAATTGAGCTTATGTCATGCTACTATTGAGGTTAATGTATTCTAATGCATAATAAATAAACAAATATACTCAAAAGGAAAGAATCAAACGGTAGTGCCTAAAATTTTGGAAGGTAATTAATACGTGTATGAAAAGGCATAATAGCCCCCTCGGCAGATTATTAGCATGGGAGAATTAGGATATGATCCAAATGATCTATATTTATTCTGACTTCTCTCCTAAGAACCTAAGATGATTCTCTCACTTGAACTTTAATATATATATATATATATATACACACACACATATAATTCTGCCATGTAATCTATCACGTAATCCGTACCTTTTATTTATTTTATTAGATTCTATTTTTGATTGCATATCTACCTCTATATAAAAAGAGGTGGAAAAGCAGATGGTTTTCCAGCCCAAATGTTTGGGGCAAAAATTGGGTCGGATAAAATATGGGTTAGATATGCGGGGCGCCAGACATTAATGTTGTCATGTGGCCCAAGATATTAAAGGCAGACAGGGCCAGACAGGCCAGTTATCCTTTCGCACTTTCCAATATGGAGTTGGGCTAATTTTGGGACCAAATTTACGTTAAAATATGAGATAAAAAACATATTGGCAAATCTGGACTTTTCAAAATCTTTGACCAGTCATTTTTGTCCTATCACATCGGTCCTAATTGGGTATACTCCGTATTATTTGTTGGATATTATAGTGTTCCAACATAAAGTGAAGAGTGAACCATAAGCTGCCTAAGTTGCACTATAAAAGAGGGCATCCGGACTCTCAACGGTATTGTCATTGCATCATTTCACTTTTGTCTTGAAAAAAAGAGAACCTACCGTAATAAAGGCAAGCTTCTAATGAGCTCAACTCCTCTGCGAGTAAATAAAGAAGAGTCATATGTTTACCCCAAAAAAAGATGAATCTTTGTTTTTCCTCTGTGAGTACATTATACGCGTGAGAGAGTTAAAGAGACATTTCCGATTGGCAGGTGGGCCTGAGGCTGGAGCATGCAAGGCAACAGGCGCAAGGTCGGAGCAAGAGTCTTGGGTTGTGGGCGACGCCGCCGTCGAGTCGGGAAACAATTCGATTGGGCTGCCTGGGCTGGGAGAGTAGGATGGTTGCTGCTGGGCAGACGCAGGTGGCATGGCTAGATGCACGTGGCAGCGGACAGCAACTGAGACACGGGCGGCGTCGAACAGCAGGCTATGGATCTGACTCTGCAACAATTGCGCACTGTGGGAAGCAGAAGAAAACGTCTTACTCCGGGTTTGGGACCGGTACAACTATAATTGTTTGGGAGGAGGTTCCCCACGTAGATTTGTACGTAACGCAGCTACCTCCTTGAGTCTGGTGCGGTATGACCCTCATACTTGGCCAAGGTTGTGGGTCGGAGATGACAATCACTGGTACACCATACTTGGTAAGAAGGATTGATTACTCGGGTAAGCTGATTCTCTTGGTTGTAAACCCCCCGTCTTACTCTGTTTCTTTGTTCTGGTGCGAGGTCTATTTATACCTTTACGACTATGTTGGTATATTTTGAATATAATGTGTCTTACGGGGTGTTTGGAACTGCTTCTGCTTCTGCTTCTGCTTCTTTTTTAATAGCAGAAGCAGAATCAGAATCAGTTTTCAGAAACTGGTACCTCCCAGCTTCTAAAAAAACTGATTCTGAGAGTAAATTAGCGCTCCAGAAGTGCTTCTGGAATTTCAACCAAACACTCCAGCTTTTGCTTCTGCTCCCTGAAGGAGCAGAATCAGTTTTGAGAATAAGATCCAAACACCCCCTTACTCTATACAATGCTCTATACAAAACCAAAAGCAGGAGAAGAATGGGTGAGATTTCCCACCCAAAGAGTCGGGTCAAAAAAGGGAGTCCGGTCGGGTCTTGCGGAAGAGTTTGGCATGCTCACGAATCTGTCTGCAATATGAGCAATCTATAGTAGCTAGGTGTGGCTTTTGTAGCTAGGTTGCGTGTTGAACTGTTATATTTAGAGCATGTCTATGAATAAATGTACAAGCTACTTTAATGCACAGTACAAATTATTAAATGCATAGTACAAAACAAATCTTTAAAATTGAGGTACATCAACTTTAATTAAAATTTATACTCAAACACAATTGCCCAATCACTCATTCATACTGTTCACCTAATACGGAGTACTATTGTTCGTTGGATCTTTGAGGCATGGCAAATAAAACCTCAGCCAGATCTACTATAAATAAGGTGCATAGTGCATTGTGCACATCCAAACCACAACCCTTCAATTCCACAACACAGTAGTCTCTTAGTATGGTTTCAAACAGGGAGAATCATAATTCTACTTGGTATGAATTGAGCATATTTTTTATCGGTTAAACTGTGTTAGACTGTTATATTCAGAGAATTTCTAAAAGCGGGTTAGCGCAGCACGGATAAAGTGTAGATCCTACGATAGACGGGAAACTAGGAAATTGCCTTTATTTATTTATTTTTTATTTAATAAGGATGAAAATTGATGTCATACATGCATATGTGTGTGTGCATGCTCACAAGTAAATACGTTTAATCTAGCAAAAAAATAAATATGTTTTGTTGTTTCGTTTCTTTATTTTTACAAATACAATTTCAATATGCTATCACTTTTGAAACAGATTGCTAATCCAAATTAGGAAATATTTGTATGTTTACAAATTCCTAATTTATTTATACTCTTAGGATATTTTCAATTAGATTGATTTCATTTCCAAACTATATCAGATCAGATTAAACTTTAATATATAATAATAAGACACATAAAATGTAGAACATGCATCTATCACATCATATTACTTCAGACCAAATCAAACCCGAAAATTTTAATTCAATAAAAAACATCATTATTAATGATGTTTTCAATGTGACGAAATAACCAGTGCAATGTAAAAAAGCTCCACTTTTTAACATTTTCAATGTGACAAAATAATGAGTAAAATGTAGGATCTTACTATGGAGTATTAAAACTTACAAGTATGTATTCCATATTTCATACCAAGCTGAATGAGGAATATGAGAAAAAAAAAAATTGAGGTGCATAATAAAGTAATTTAGAGGACGTGAGAATAATTAAGAAGCTTATTTGTGAATTCTTTAAATTTGGGTTCACAACAATTATGTTTATGTTGGGTTAATGGCCCAGCACCTGGGCCGGCCCATGTAACGCGTATACGACGAACGTCTTCCTAGGCGGGGCAGCCCACTCGGACGAACGACCATACAAGACAGGTGGACCAGATCCACAGATAAACACAATGGCGACGAACGTCTCCTTCAGAAGCCATTATTACTTGGGGTTAATCCAACCTGTGTAACAAATCATCTAAGGGCCAGAATACGAACGGCCCGATACCCTTTACGATATCATCAGGAGCAGGCCCTTCATCCGGACTGGACGTACATCCCCATAACTAGGCGGGAAAACCAGATTCTGGCGGGAAGCGCATTTAATGCTGGAGATTTGGTGGTTGGGACACCAGCCACACGCAAGCCTCCACGTCAGCATAGTCAGCTGCCCATTGGTGGTATAAATAGCAGCATTTATTTCATTGTAAGGAGTTGGCAGCTTACTATTCTTAGCATTCTAGCTATAGTCTCCTTACTCGCAGCTCTTCCACTGCCTTGTAAGACGAACGGCCGACGAGCCTTAGCAAAAAGTATTGTATTAGGGAATTATTAGCTGATTAATAATACCTGATCTATTACTTGCTCCCTCCTGTTTCGTAATCCATCTTACTTGTTAGTTGGGCTAGTTATTCACACACACTCCACTCGAGATCCTTGGGCTTACGTGTTGGACCCGAGGGTTGAAGGAATAAACCTCAACACTGGCGCCGTCTGTGGGAATCTGAACTAAAAGTTTCCAAAAAACTCTCCCAAAACAGCTACTAAATCTACCCACAGCAAGCACAATGGCAAGAAACAATCAACAACGTGACCTCTCGGAGCAACTGTCTCGCGGACGAAGGAGCCGCGGGCAAACCACGGATCGCTCTGAGACACTGGGAACCGCTGGGGGTGATGGTGGCCTCACCAACCTCATCCCCCACGAGGCTAGACGCGACCCTCGACTCATGAGGGAGCTGGCAGAAACTATGCGCCGAATGGCGGACGAACAGGAGGCAGATGAGGAGGTGTACTCAGCCAACACAATCTGGACACCCATCTCACCGATCCACCACATGCAGTCCCTGGATGAGACAGCGGAATCTGCTGGGCATCGGACGTCCGTCCACACAAGGTTGGGCCTGAATCCGCTCTCCCACAGAACCAGGGGCACACCAGTGCCAGTACCCCCCACTATGGTTGGCAGGACGATCATCGGGGGCGCACGCCAGATGTTCCCTCAGAACGTCAGGACACGGCAGTCACCCCCACTGCCAGCAATATTGGACGCCGCTTCCAAAGACGAGGCGCCAATATCACTCGGAGGCAACCCGAAGCGGTTGCACCACAGAGGAACATCGCACTCGAAGCCGCCCCTCCTGTGTCCCCCGGAAGGGCCGCACAGGAGGCCCGGATAAAGGCGATGGAACGGCGAATGGCCGAAATAGACATACGGGCGGAGGCCACCCCGGCTACGGCCCGTTCCTCCCTCACATCACCATTCACTCCGCGAGTCATGAATGCAGAAATCCCTCGGGACTGCAGGCCGCCCGGAGGGATAGTGTACAACGGGACCGGAGATACTAAAGCCCATTTGATCAGCTTCCAGGGAAATCTTTCCATGTTGGGAGCATCAGACGAGGCCATATACCGGCTCTTCTTCAGCACCTTGAAGGGCCCAGCGCAGGAGTGGTTCGGGCAGCTGAGACCCGGATCCATTGACAACTATGAGCAGCTATCCCAGCAGTTCATGGCGCAATTCGCCGCCAGCACCACCCCCAAGAAGAGCTTCACATCCCTCACTAGTGTGAAGCAGGGAAAAGACGAACCACTGGCTAAGTTTCTAGTCAGGTGGAGGGATGAAGTCCTGCAGGTGGATGACCTGGACGAACGGCTGGGAGCGAACATGTTCACTAGCGCTTTGGCTACGGGGGACCTATATCGGGACCTCCGGAGGAATCCCAGTACCAGCTACACCAAAGTTTTGGCTCGGGCACAGAAGTATGCCTCCATTGAGGAGGAAATTGGGATGAGGGACGGCGCACCAGCAGCACCATCCTGGAAACTGGCGGATAGGCTCGGCCCTGGAGGCGGGCCATCCCCCCAAACAAAAAGAAGAAGATGGACGGAGCCTAACCCCATGGAAACCTCGCCCGGAGCCTGGACACGTGCGTCCGGAGGATTACTACGTTCCCTTGGCTTACCCTGTGAGCCAAATCCTTGAGGCAATCAAAGACAAAGGCCTCTTAGACGCTCCCCGGGATTCCAAAAAACTCATGGGCAGGGATGAGACAGCCTACTGCGAATACCACCAGAGGGTCGGCCACCTCACCGACGACTGCAAGAGTCTGAAGATGGCCATAGACGAGCTGATCCGGCAGGGGTATCTCGGAGAGTTCACCCAGCTCCTGTCAAAGAACAGCCAGAAGCGGCCATACCAGAAGCATAAGACTTGGCGCCGTGACAATCGGCCTTAGGACGAAACCAAGGACGACGAATACCGGCGGGCTGATAAGCATCTGGAGGGGTCTTCGGGGCCGAGCGGCGGAAAAAAGAAACTGGAGATCAAGGTGATCTTCGGGGGTGCCGAAACTGGGGACACCCCCGCAGCACGGAAGAAGTTTGAGAGGTCCCTCTATGTGGGATCCATATCGGCCCCTCTGACCAAGAAGAACAAGGTGGAGGCCATCACCTTCGGACCGGCTGATCTGCCGAGATCACCGGCTCCGCACAGAGACGAGCTGGTAATCAGCATGGACATCAACGACGCCCTCATCCGCCGAGTCCTTTTTGACACTAGCAGCAGCGTGAACGTCCTCTACTGGGATGTATTCGAAAGAATACACCTGAAGAAGGAACAGGTGACCCCTCTGCGCACCCCGCTGGCCGGGTTCACCGAGGACTGCATCGACGCAGAGGGCACCATCACCCTCCCCGTGGAAGTCGGGGATGGGCCGCACATCGCCAGGATGGAAATGACGTTCATCGTGGTCCGCCTGAAGTGTGCCCACAACGCCATTCTAGGCCGGCCCGGCCTGGAAGACCTAGAGGCCATCTGCTCCGTGTGACACTCATGTATAAAATTCCCCACTGAGACAGGGGTTGGGGTAGCCCGCACGGACCCACATATGGCGAGGGCCTGTTACACAAAGGCCATGGAAAGGCTGGACGAATTCCCCACTGAGACAGGGGTTGGGGTGGCCCGCACGGACCCACATATGGCGAGGGCCTGTTACACAAAGGCCATGGAAAGGTTGGACGAGCGGGAGGCTCGAATCAACAGTATCTCGGAGACAGCCAGGCGAGCTGAATTCGACGCTCGTCCAGAACCAGCCACACTGCTTGAGGAGGTGGAGCTCGACGATCCATTGGACAGGAAGGTGTCCATCGGGGCCGACCTCGAGCCCAAAATCAGGGAAGGGGTGATTGCCACCCTCCGGAAGTTCAAGATCCTATTCGCCAGAGGACCGGAGGACATGCCAGGCATCGACCCCAACATCATATGCCACAGATTAGCCGTACGACCATATGCCAGGCCAATTCAACAGAAAAAACGATACATGGTGGCCGACCGGCGTGACTTCATCAAGGATGAGACTGCAACGCTCCTCAGCATCAAGCATATCCGGCTGGTCACCCACGTGGAGTGGTTGGCAAATGTGGTACTAGCCCCGAAAGGCGACACATGGCGGATGTGCGTCGATTACTCGGACCTCAACAAAGCTTGTCCAATGGACCCATACCCCGTGCTGAGGATCGACTTGCTAGTGGATGAGACCGCAGGTTGCGAACTGCTCAGCTTCATGGATGCCTTCCGAGGGTACCATCAGGTGTTTATGCACCCAGATGATGCAGAGAAGACGGCGTTCGTCACGGCGGATGGCGTGTACTGCTACATAGTCATGCCGTTCGGCCTGAGGAACGCCATGGTCACGTTTCAGAGGATGATCGGGATGTTGTTCAAAGACGTACTAGGGAAGGCCATGGAGGCCTACGTGGATGACATCATGATCAAAAGCAAGAAGAAGGAAGATCACATCCGGGACATGGAGAAGGTCTTCACCATAATGGAGGGGGCCAACATGAGGCTCAACCCAAAGAAATGCGATTTTGCAGTCAAAGGTGGCAAGTTCCTCGGTTATATGATGAGCGAGCGAGGAATCGAGCCTAACCCGGAGAAGGTGAAAGCAATTGTAGACATGGAGCCCCCCAAGAACCTGAAAGATGTCCAGAGACTCATCGGACGCCTGGCAGCCCTGAGCCGTTTTATGTCCAAATTGGCCGACAAGGCAATTCCCTTCTTTCAAATCATGAAGAAGGCGAATCCCTTTGAATGGACCCCGGAGTGCCAGGCGGCTTTCGAAGAATTCAAAACATACCTCTCCTCTCCGCTCGTCCTCACCAAGGCGGACCCCGGGGAGCGGCTGTACATGTATTTGGTTGTGGCAGACTTGGCAGTAAGCTCTGTGCTGATCAAAGAGGATGAGGGTGTTCAACGGCCCATATACTTCGTCAGTAAAGCGCTGAACGACCCAGAGACCAGATACACATTGATGGAAAAGACGGTCCTCGCCTTAATAGCATCCATCAAACGCTTGGCACCGTACTTCCAAGCTCACTCAGTCACTGTCTACACAACGCAGCCCCTCGCCACTGTTCTCAGGAATCCCATGGCCAGCGGGAGAATCACCAAGTGTTCCCTGACGATCAGCTAGTACAACGTTGATTTTAAACCAAGGCCGACGATCAAGGGACAAGCGCTCGCGGATTTCATTGTTGAATGCATTGCGCGCACCGAGGATAACTCCCAGGGCACCAACGACTTCGACAACTGGTGGGAAATGTACATCGATGGAGCCTCGAGTGCGCGGGGATGTGGTGGAGGAGTAGTGGTCACCTCCCCCGAGGGATTCAAGGCCTACTACTCCATGAAGTTTGAATTCAAGGTCACCAACAACGAAGCTGAGTACGAGGCGCTAAAATGCGCAAAGGCACTCAGAGCAGCTCGTCTGAAGGTGAGGATGGTCAGCCAGCTGGTGGTTACTCGGATGAACGGGACGGCCGAAGCCAGGAAAGAGAGGATGAAGGTCTACAAAGAGCTGGCGGAGGAGCAAACCGCGCAGTTCGAACAAGTGATAATTGAACAAGTATCCCGAGTGGAGAATGCCGAGGCTGATATATTATCAAAGCTAGGCAATCCCCCGACCGACGACCCTATGACGAACGTCCCCCGGCACATCAAAGGGTTTGTGAGACATGAGACGCTCCAGACACCAGCAACGGAGACAATCCAGGTAGAGGCCATTTCCTTGGCCGAACCCAACTGGCTGAAGGAAATCGCAGACTACATCAAAGACGGAACCCTCCCTGAACCCCCAGCCGATGGTAGCACAGGGAAGGCAGCCTGGATTAAGTCAGTTGCCCTCATAGAAGAGCACGGAGCAAAGAATGATTTTATCCCTCTGCGCTATTGGTGACACCCAGTGTGCCCCGAATTTTGAGATCATTGACGGGCAGCTCTACAAAAAGACGTTCGGTGGACCATACTTAAGATGCCTGCCGCCGAACCTCGTCGCGGCAGTGTTGGAAGAAATCCATGAGGGCATCTGCTCAAGTCATCAAGGCCCCAGAACTATGGCGCGGAAGATCATCCTGCAAGGCTATTACTGGCCCACGATCCAACAAGATTGTTACAACCACACTCAAAAGTGTGCGGTGTGCCAGCAGTACGCCCCCATCCCAGGGCGGCCGGCTAGTTTCTACACCCCGACGACCGTCGCCTTGCCCTTTGCCAGATGGGGAGTCGACCTGCTGGGGCCGCTACCCAAGACGACCGACGGGCGGAAGTTCATCATAGTGGCGATTGATTACTTCACCAAATGGGTAGAGGTCGAGCCTCTGGCCACTTTCACAGAATATCAGTGCCAGAAGTTCGTCTGGCAAAATATCATATGCGGCTTCGGAATCCCGGAGCAGATCATCACTGATAACGGCCGGCAGTTCGTCGGGCGCGGGTTCGAAGGATACCTGACCAAGTGGGGCATCAGACACTCAAAAGCCTCGGTGGCTTACCCTCAAGCCAACGGTCAAGTGGAAAACATGAACTGGACCATCATGGACGGGATCAAGAAGAAATTGGAGGATTATGCATCCACTTGGCCCGAGCAGCTCAATTACGTTCTCTGGACGTACAGAACAACCCCAAGAACCGCAACCGGGGAGACGCCCTTCGCATTGACCTATGGTTTCCAAGCCAAGGTGCCCACTGAGGTGCTGGTGCCTACACACCGCACCAAGCATTACCAACCAGAAGACAACGAGGCCACCCTAAGAGCGGAGCTCCATTTCATCGAAGAACGAAGAGACCTAGCAGCTCGTCGCATGGAGGAGTATCACCGGGCCACCCAGAGATACTTCAACAAATCAGTGAACATCCGCGAAATCAACGCTGGAGATCTCGTTTTGCGCAAAAGAGAAAAGAGCAAACCGCTCGAAGGTGGAAAGATGGCCAAAATTTGGGAGGGACCATATAGGGTCCTCCGAAGGCTAAACTAGGCAACGTTCGTCCTCCAAACCTTGGAGGGGAATTCTGCTGGAATATGGAATGTAGAACACTTGAAGAAATTCTATCAATAAACTACGGATAAAAATTCCCTCCCAAAAAAAAATGGGAGGAGGGGAGACATAACTCCTAAGAAAACGGGAATCCTAGCGGGATAAACCAGTTCTTCCCCTAACTCGTAGATTACGAACGTCTAAGCAAAAGCAGAAGACAAGTAGGATCACATGCGTGGGTTGAACGAAGAAAGGGAACCCTAGCGGGGTAAACCAGTTCTTCCCCTAACTCGTAGATTACGAACGTCTATGCAAAAGCAGAAGACAAGTAGGATCACGTGCGTGGGTTGAACGGAGAAAGGGAACCCTAGCGGGGTAAACTAGTTCTTCCCCTAACTCGTAGATTACGAACGTCTAAGCGAAAGCAGAAGACAAGTAGGATCACGTGCGTGGGTTGAACGAAGAAAGGGAACCCTAGCGGGGTAAACCAGTTCTTCCTCTAACTCGTAGATTGCAAACGTCTTCTGCCTAAGCAAAAGACAAGTAGGATCACGTGCGTGGGTTGAACAAAGAAAGGGAACCCTAGCGGGGTAAACCAGTTCCTCCCCTTAATCGACGGATGACGAACGTCTTCTTCCAAAACAGAAGACTAGTAGGATCACGAACCTGGGTTGAACGAAGAAAGGGGATTCCGACGAGGTAAACCAGATCTTCCCCCTACTGATGAATGACGAACGTCTCCAGATCGAGAGGTCAGTCAGAACACGGTAGGGGTTAGACGTCAAACGGGAACCCCGACGGAATAAACCAGTTTTTTCCCAATGTTGGATGAAGAGCGTCTTCTGCAAAGACAGAAGACTGATACGATCACGAACGTGGGACGAACAAAGATGAAAAAGACTAAAAAAAATGCAGACGAGCATGGAGCAAAGAATGATTTTATTCTTCGACACTACCGGCCGGGAAGTTACAAATGTGAAGTACAAGGTAAGAATCATAAAAAATATATATACAAGTACTGGGCGACGAGCAGAGCTTCAGACTAGTCGACGTTCGGAGCTGGGACCTTGAAAGGAATCTGTTTGGCTTTTTCCTTGGCTTCGGCTTCCTCCTGCTCCTTGCGCTCCTTCAACAGTTCAAGGGCCCCCTTGTAGGCATCCACCATCAATGAGTCGAAGCCGGCCGCCACCGGATCAAAGGGAGCCCCAAAGTGACGCTTGAAAGTCGGGAGATTCTCCGCCACTAGGCTGATCATATCCTTAAGATAGGTATCATCAGCAAGATCATCAAGGAAACGCTCTCCAGTGGGGGTCGCCTGAAGCAGCTTGATGCCATCTAGATAAGGATCAGGGCAAGTAGCAAGATACTCCCCGACGAACTTCGGAAGGAATTTTCTGGCCATGGCTTGGATGGCACCGGTATAAGCCTTGGACTTCTGGAACTCAATAGAACCAGACTCCTTGATCTTCGAAACATCGACCTCATACACAGGAACGTGGTTATCCACGCCTGTTCGACGAACGTCCACCCCGGCATGAGAAACGGCCCACATACGGCTGCGCAGATCCATCAGCTTGGCCTCTTGCTTCCTTAGGAGTTCCTTCTGAGAGGCGTTCTCTTGGACAAGCTTGTCATAGGCATCGGCTTTTTCTTTGAGGGTCCCAACCCTGCCCTTAGCATTTCTGAGTAAAGCATCGCACTCGGCTCGTACTAGGGCCATCTCCCTCCCTTGCTGCTCAAAGGCCATCCAAGCCCTGTGGAAGTAGAGCCCGGCCTTGTCCAAAGTGCTCTGTCCGCACTCCAGAAGATCCTCGGGGGCTTCTTGAGCGGCGAAATCTTGGGGGACCTTGAGGTTGAGGCCGCACCAGATGGAAGACGCGGTCTGACCGAAGAGCATCATTGACTCCTTGCGAGGGCCGACCCCGGAGAACTCAATAAGGCCAAGAGAGGACCTGTTGGTTTCTGGAGGCGATAAAGGACGAGCGTCACCAGATCCCCCAACGGTCTGAACATCCTCATCACGAAGGCGACGAACGTCAGAGTTCCTTGACGGAGAAGGAGGGGGCTTGCTCCTCGAAGTATGCTTTCTTTTCAGGGGGCCTCCAGGCTCCCCATCAGAGTCATCGGCCACTACGATGGCCTTAGAAGCAGTTCCGTCAAAACGGGGCTTCTTTGAGGCTCCGGCCTCGGGAGCCTCCTCAGTTCGCGGCCTTGTCACCCGGGACTCAACCTTGGGGACGAGCGGTTTCCTGCCCTTGTCCTGATCTTTGCCTTCGCGGCCATGAAGGACGGGGATATTGTTGGAATGTCCCATAGAGGATGAAGATGGGAAAACTTCTGCAGAAAAGAAACCAAGACGTTCAGAACCATAACAATGAAAGGATGATATGACAATGCAAGTACAAATGGACGCACCTAATCCGGCCCGAGCTATGAAGGGCTCGGCCACCAACAACCGGAGATTCTGGATGCCAAGGCCGGCTATGCGCCTGGCATACCCCAGTTCCTCATCCGTCATCGGCGGTGGGATTGACTTCACCGGATAAGCATTCCATCTGTCGGAGAATGGCATGGGGGAGCCTACTCCAGCCAAAAAGAACCTCTCCTCCCAGCCGTCCGGATTCCCGACATTGTTCGAAAACAGGACCATTGACGGACGAGCAATCGGGGTCAGATACCCCGTACGTCCAAACGGGGACAACCAGAAAAGATGATGCAAGAGGTCTACGGTGGGGACCATGCTGACGCCGTGACATCTGATGATGAAGCCCGCTATAATTCTATAGGCGGCGGGGACGAGCTGCGCAGGCGTTACCCTAAGACTCCTGAAGAGTTCTAGGTGGAAAGAATGCAGGAGGAAGAAGAGGCCGGCTATAACGGAGTCTAAATGAACCACCACATAGCCGGGCAGATGGCGCATTGGATTGCGCAGACGACGGTCGTCGTAAACCCTTGAAGGGTGGAACCATTGGCTAATCAACCGCCGATCCGCGTTCAAAAGACGCTGGCGCTGACGACGAACGCCAGAAAAATTGAGGTGGTGACGGGGAGGCCGAGGTGGCATACCTCATTCATAGAACTCGAGGTCGTCACCCGAGGAGCACCCGTCATCAAACCGATCCCCGGTGGACGACGAGCTTATTGGGGTCCTTGAATCGATGATTTGAGACTCCAACCTAGACGAAGACATGACGACGTTCAATACCTGCGGGTATCAAGACTCGATGCAGTGCAGAAAACGGCTAGAGAGAGAAAGCAATTGCACAGCGTAAGGACCGGAGAGCAAGTGGTTGATCCGCGAGGTTTTGGGGTACTTATAGGCAGCACCGCAGGACTGCGCCAACCACAAATGGACATGTGGCGTCAACATACCGGTATATTCCGCGGTATTGAAGACGCCTCGATTCTAGCACCCACTTTTTGGAGGAAAACACTTTATACCCCACCTCAAAGTGAGGGCGACGAACGTCCCGTGGGAAGAGCGGGCTGGAGCGCGCCACCAGGGACGCACCACGCACCCACGGGGCGTCAGAAGATATATGTACTTCCTAATTTGGAGGTCCCACAGGGTACTAAGGTACGTCCGTCTCAAAACACTTGGGAAGGAGACGGATGGGCTAGGTGGACGAACGTCTCAAGGAGATCCTGGCCTTAGCACCTGGCTCGACAAGGCACTAGTTCGGGGAAGACGAACGTCTCTGCCCAGAATGCACCCGTAAACACATACTTCGCCAAACATGATAGGAGGCGGCAAACTCAGCCATCGACGAATGTCTCTTGCCCTTTGCAAGACAAGTGCGATCGTCTCCAGGAACTTTGCGCACTTGGAAAAATTTGGGGAGGACGAACGTCTCTAACCAACGGGCGCACGAAAAGAATCGGCTCGTACACGCACACTTCGCAAAAAATGACGGAAGGCAGCAGACCGACGCTCGACGAACTGGGTTACGGGCCAAGGTGGTAGACAAGTATGACCGTCCCCACGGACTTAGACGAAAAAGGGATGCGGCATGAAAAATCAGACTTACGTGATTAAGGATGGCGTTAAGGACCATCTTTCGCACAACCATTGAAAAATTACGCAGAGCGTCGAATCAGGATCTCGCATGCAACTATAGGAATGAAAGGAAATGACAAAGTAAAAGAATACGAACGTCAAGATAATCATGAAGCAAAATGTGTGTATTCCTCAGCACTATCGACTGGAATTTACAAGGATATCAAACAAATAAGTAGAGTTTTACATCAAATGAAGTTAGGAGAAACAGGCCGGGACCCCCCCCCCCCCAGGAACGACGTCTTCTTCCTCTTCAGGCTCAGGCTCAAGGGTCGGGGGCTCTGGGACTTTGCCCCTATCTTTGGCTTCCTCGCGACGAGCGTCCCGCTCCAGCTTGCCCAGAATTCGGATCAGCTCGGCATCAGTAGTGTGCTAGGCCAAGTTGAAGCTGGGGCCATGCAGAGCGGTGAAGATGGGCAGCGTGGCCTTTACCCCCTCATTATAACCAATGACGAAGGAACTATCCCCAACGTCGTACAAGAACTTCTCTGACAAGGAGGCGCTCTCCAAGACCCGGACCCCGAACTTGAGACGATCTTTCGGGGCCTGCTTCTGCAGCTCGGTTGAGAATACATCACCGAACGCACCGCCACAATACCTTTGGGCGGCAACCATGAAGGCCTCAATATTCTCATACCCAGAGGTATCAACGAGCCACTCAGGGGCCTCGTCCTTCAGAGCTGGAAGAACCGGAACTAGCTTGAAGCCGGCCTTCTCAAAAGCAGCCACATGCTGAGCTGACTCGCGGGCCGCTTGACGAGCGGCCTGCAGCTCCTTGTCTTTGGCAGCCACATCCTTCTCTCAAAGACAGGCGGCCTCCCGTGTCTTCTTCAGCAGTGCATCAGCCTTGTTCTTGGCCTGAAGGGCGTGAGCGTCCCTTGCAGCTTCTGCTTGCAGCACAGAGAGCCCGGCTTGCGGATAAGGAACATATGTGTAAGATTACAGATCCCCAAAACTGAAACCGGCTGGTCAGTATAAGGCGAATTTACCTGAAGAGCGGCGGCTAAAGCGGCGTTGGTAGCCTCCGAGGACGTCCGGGCGGGCAGCTCCACCCCGGCCAAAGAGACAATTTCTTGCCAGACATCATGGGCAGGACGTCCCAGGGGGAGGGGGACCGCTTCTTGTTCTGCAGGGACCGAAGAGCCAGCCTCACGGGGCCTCTTCGTCTTCTTCTCCTTAACTTTTTCCCCCGCCGGGGGAAGGACGATCTGCAGGGGCGCCACCACTTCGGGGATGTCGGAAACAGCAGGGGATGCTTGGTCCCCCTGTGCCATCACCGTGGCAATTAAATGCTGCTCCGCCTCGACCATCCGCCGATCGGCCTGAGAGGCGGAGGAGTTAGAATCAGCGGCCTGAGTGGCCTTGGCCTTGGCAAGTGCGGCATCGGTGGCTGCCCCTTTGCCTTTCCTCGTCTTCAACATCTTGGCGTGATTCATTTGAGCGTCGGTTGGGGGTAATCCTGAAACAAAAAAAAAGCATTAAGCATTAGTAGCCGAACAGATTCTGAAACCAAGACCCTCACCACAGAGGACAGGACCGCCCAGTGCCCCGAGACGAGCGTAGGGGGGGAATTGGGAGTCCAGAAACACGGACGGTACCTATTACTGCTGCGGCGAGCACTGGGAAGGTGAGGAAATCGTCTAAGGGTCGGACGCCGCCCGTCGAGACTTTCTTGATATCCTCCTCCAGGTCGTCCGTCAACTTTGGTGGCCCTATCTTAGGTGGGTAGCCATTCCAACGGATGGGCAGACAAGCATCTTCGTACCGTACAAAAAAGAACCGATTCTTCCAATCATGGATTGAGCTCGGTGCACCACTGAAGAGCTTCCGCTTTGGACGTGCGGCAATGCTCAGAAACCCATCGGAGTTTTGGGGGGTAAGCCGGAAAAAGTAATGGAACAAATCTAATGTGGCAGTAACCCCCCTATTCTTGCAACGAATGAGGAACGCGGAAATAAATCGGTAGAAATTGGGCTTGAACTGTGCGGGGGCCACTTGGAAGCAACGGAAGAACTCCACATAGAACGGATGAAGGGGGAACCGCAGCCCGGCCTCAATGGAATCCAAATGAACCATGACCATCCTCGGACGTCTTCTCATCATATGGGACGCGCCTCGAAGGCGGTAGACGAACGGGGGAGGGAGGAATACTTTGAGTTTGTTAAGGGCCTTGACCGAGAAGGCTTGCTCATGACCAATCGCATTCTTGATGGAGCAAATATGACACTCCACATCAACCGTGAGGCCCAGATCAAACATCTCTACATTAGAACCATCAACGGCCTCGGTGCCCGAATCATAATCAACTGGGCGATCATCGTCGGCGGCTGCGTTTTCCACAACCATCTGGATCGCACCTCCTTGGGGGGGGGCGTCCCCATTTCCCCAGAGGCCGCATCATCCTCGGCTTCATCTGACGAGGAGGTACACGCAGAGGAAGAGGTCTCAGAAGCATTGTCTTGCACAATCAAACCCGCAACGGGCCGGGAGCCGAAGCGGTCGGAGGTGCTGGCACCCTCGGAGGAGCGCGAACTGGCCTCAGAGCCCGAAGAAGAGCGCGAACTGGCCTCAGAACCAGAAGAGGAGCCAGAAGAGGAGCCCGAGCCAGAACTCGATGAAATTTCCATGGAAGTCATTGAAAGAATCAAGAAAAATAAAATAATACCTTAGAGCAACGGGATTGAGCCGAGGAGCTTGTAGACGAACAGATTGCAGAACAGCGAAATTCTAGAGCGAGAGAGCAAAGTCGGGAACCCTAAACTAATGGGAAGCTCTGGTATTTATAGGGGAAACACCGATTCGCGGGCCAATGGGGAGGCAACGCGTGGCAAGGAGCGTACCCAGATGCACGCACCGCGCGTGAGAAGAGAAATGTAATAATGACCCTGTCTCGGAAAATGTACCGTTTCTGCGGCAGCCATCACCTCGATTCCTGAACCGCCATCAGCTAAGCGACGCCATGGAGAGGAACGTCCACTCTCAAGAAGGCGGCAGGCATGAGTTCCACAAAACGAACGTGCGACGTCCGGGGATAATATACTTCCTTATGTCCTTCGTACGCTCAGTACATCAGAAGTGAGGGACTTGTGTTGGGTTAATGGCCCAGCCCCTGGGCCGGCCCATGTAACGAGTATACGACGAACGTCTTCCTAGGCGGGGCAGCCCACTCGGACGAACGACCATACAAGACAGGTGGACCAGATCCACAGATAAACACAATGGCGACGAACGTCTCCTCCAGAAGCCATTATTACTTGGGGTTAATCCAACATGTGTAACAAATCATCTAAGGGCCAGAATACGAACGGCCCGATACCCTTTACGATATCATCAGGAGCAGGCCCTTCATCCGGACTGGACGAACGTCCCCATAACTAGGCGGGAAAACCAGATTCTGGCGGGAAGCGCATTTAATGCTGGAGATTTGGTGGTTGGGACACCAGCCACACGCAAGTCTCCACGTTAGCATAGCTAGCTGCCCATTCGTGGTATAACTAGCAGCATTTATTTCATTGTAAGGAGTTGGCAGCTTACTATTCTTAGCATTCTAGCTATAGTCTCCTTACTCGCAGCTCTTCCACTGCCTTGTAAGACGAACGGCCGACGAGCCTTGGCAAAAAGTATTGTATTAGGGAATTATTAGCTGATTAATAATACCTGATCTATTACTTGCTCCCTCCTGTTTCGTAATCCATCTTACTTGTTAGTTGGGCTAGTTATTCATACACACTCCACTCGAGATCCTTGGGCTTACGTGTTGGACCCGAGAGTTGAAGGAATAAACCTCAACAGTTTAGTTGAGATGCTTATGTAGAATAACATTTTAATTTTTTTATATAATTGTTTCTTTATTTTACAAATGGTTTTTTTTCATGATTTAGGAGATTCCTCCTATTCAGCCCAATCGACGATAATTTAATCAATTTCAGTAAAATAAGCCGACTCCATCAGTTTTTAGTATTATCATACGAACTCTATATTTAGACTGAGTTTATTTTACTTTTGCATTAATTAAATATGATTATGAAAAAATCAAATTTAAAATAAGCCAAATTATGTATTGCCCGTGAATCGGACGGGTTTGAAACCTAGTAAGTATAACACTCCCAAATTGTATATGTTCTCCAAAAATAAAATATAAAAATAATGACAAATAATTCTTCAAATAAAGACTAACGCTTTAAACTTATATTACCACTAACAAGGTCCACAAGGATATGAACATATGATATTTTTACTTTTGTTCATATGTGTCCATCATAATAAAATTAGTTTTCTTTTTAATGACGAGTGAGTGAAGGCAGGAGTCGGTCCTCGTCAGAAACAATTTCGTCACTTCAGTTTCTAATTACAGATTTTGTAATTTACTAAAATGTTATTGTTTTGTACTCCGCACTAGTTATTTGTAATGTGATTTAACTTTACTTCTATAGTTTTATTAGAGTTTATAAATAAAAGCTAGATTTGTTCAGTTGTACTATTACAATTGTTGATGTGCTCAGTTAATGTTATTTGTATAGTCCACCAAATAAAGCAGTGCATTATTTATAATTCTCCATATTATTTTTGGTAATATTTTAAATATGAGAAAACAGTTACAAGTTTAACTGTATAAAAATTTTAGCAACAAACTACATATTCTATTGAAATAAAATCTTCAATTATATCTTATTATTATTATTATTACTACGTATTATTATTATTATTACTCATATTATTATTCAAATGAAGTTATATAACTTGTTATAGATGAAGTAAAACAATATTAAGAAAGTAGATAATTACCTCTAAAAGGCATTTCCCTCCTGCAAATAGGGCACAAACGAGACACCCTTGCCCATTCTGCGATGCACTTGAAATGATAAACGTGGTTGCATTGGAGACGAGCGACTTTGTCCTCGTCGACAAAATCCTCCTGATGTTTAAATTAAACTATTAAATTCAATATTTGTAAACCACTAAACTAATACTACTCCGTATTTAAAAGATTACTACAGTTGACGCAACATTTAAGGAGAAAATAGTAGATGTAATAATATTGTAGAACAAGTCGGAAGGAAGATGAGAACATAGGAAAAAGAAAATAAAAATGTAAGGATAATTGAGTACTTTTAAAGGAAAAACTTACTAAAAGGGGAAAATGTAACAAACCTTTAAATACATCCCAAATAGTAAAGTATAACAAACATTTAAATGCAGAGGGAGTTTAATATTATCAGGGTAATTACATAAATAAGAGTAAATAGAATTTAAATTGCAAAAATAGGAGTTAAATTCCAAAAATAAAAGTAACTTTGTCAATTCTATGCTTGTCATGATTTAGGGTGTCCTCAATTGGGATTTCATAAGATTTGGAAGATGTTCTCTTCACCTGATCTGAATGTTTATGATCTGGATTTTTTAAGTTCTGATCTGATCTGAATCTTTCTGATCTGAATATTTCTGATCTGATCTGAATCTTTCTGATTTGGTCCGATCTGCTCTGAATATTTTTTATCTGATGTGATTTGAATATTTCTATAATTATAATTATAATTATAATTAAAAATATAATTTAAATAAATTATAATTATAATCATCATAATTATAAAAAATAGATCATAATAATAATTATAATTAAAATATAATAATTACACCTATTACACTAATTATAACTATATATATAATTGTAATGGTAATTTTATTTTTTTATTATAATTATTTATTTATAATTGTAATTATAATCACAATTAAAATTTTAATTAATAATTAAAATAAAAGTTACATTAATATAACAATAATTGTAATTGTAATTATAATTATAGTGGTAATTATAATTATACATGTAATTATAATTATAATTACAATTTCAATTACAATTACAGTTATAATTATAATTATGATTTTAGTTAATCCATACTCCGTATAATAATGACAAAAACAATAATAATACTACTACTAAAATTAATAATAATAAAAATTATAAAAATATAATAAATACTACTCCGTATAACTCGTGTAATCGTGTAATAATAAATATAATATTAATAATAATAATATTTTACTAATAATAATAATAATATATAATAATAGTAATTATTATAGTAATATGATTATTATTATAATTTTTATAAGAATATAATAATAATAATAATAATAATAATAATAATAATAATAATAATAATAATAATAATAATAATAATAATAATAATAATAATAATAATAATAATAATAATAATAATAACAATAACAATTATTATTATATAAAAACAATAATTATTAGTATTATCATAATTATTATAATAATAAAGTGATAAATCATGTTTGAAATTTTCTGATTTCATCTGATCTGAATGTTTCTAATATGGTCTGATCTGATCTGATCTGAATTTTTCTGATCTGATCTGATCTGATATGGATTTTTCTGACCTGATCTGAATAAATTAAGAATAAGCAATAAGTAACAACAATAAGATGAAGAGAACATCTTCTAGATTTTAAAGGAATTAGATTTTAATGGAATTGAATAGAATTCGGCTTGGACCCGGTCCGGGACCCGGACCGGCCCGTCACTGTTTGGGCCCAGCCCGGGAAACCGGGTCCCGGTTACGGGTCAAAGCCCGGTTTTAGGGCAACCCGGGGGCGGGTACAGGGCTAAGAAAATCTGAACCGGCCCGGCCGATTCTGGGCCCGGTTTGGGTCCATTTCATTTTTTTAGTTGGGCTGGGTTTAAACAGAATGGGCTTGGACGCTGGGTGTTTTTTATGGGTTTGGGGGATGGCGGCCTGGCGGGGGGCTAAGGGATGAAAGAATCAAGGAAAAAAATTAGAACCGGGCCCTCACCAAAACTCCTCCACACCCGCCCGGGGTCTAGCCCCGACCCGGACCCGGCCCGGCCCGAGAATAGGATAAAATTCCATGTAATTGAAACAGCATCTACTTTGGCTTCTCCGCAATTGAAATCGATTCTGGATCGTGAATGGGTGCATCGGTGTGCAATCCCACAATTATGTTATTCAGTCTCATATAACGATTTAGCAGATTCCCACTACGCCCATTTTACAGGGGGATAGGTGATACCGATGCTGTTACAGGGGTACGAGAGAAGAGAACATACAGGTCGATCGGCAACAAGGGCTTCTCCCGCACAATCCGAAGGATACGCAGAGATTTTGGACAATATTCTTCTCTTTGTATTTTTAGATTATAAATCCATAGAAATCCTTTGGAATCCAAGAGTAAAGAATCCAGATTTTGTTGGATTACATGAGATTACACATTGAGGACACCTGAATTCTATGGAATTTTAACAATCATTTAAAATCCCATGAAATCCTAATTAATAGGATTTTTTCCCCGGCGACAGTCTTCTCCGGCTGTTTGTGATTTACTCTAAGTTTGAAATAGTAAGTTTAAGCCAATGAATATTATGAATTGGAACTGCAGGGGGGTTGGCAAATCTCGCCACCGTTCAAGTTCTAAGCGATCTGGTAAGAGGTAAAAATCCAAAAGTCATACTCCGTATTTCTGATGGAAATAAAAGCTAGCCGGCGACGAGTCAATGATGTCATGGGGAGGTTGGGTTAGCGCACAAGTCACATAGTTGAGAGCATCGGATTAAGCGGGGGATTGGCTTTATTCTGGAAAGATGAGGTGGAAGTCACTATTGATTGTACTATCCGATTGCAGGAATAGGAAGATAGGTGGAGGTTAACAGGATATTATGGCATCCCAGAGAGGTGAAGGAGGAAGGAAGTATGGGCAATGTTGACAAGTCTCGCGAATAGAAGCAATCTCCCTTGGCTAGTTTTTGGAGACTTCAGTGATATTATGTTTGAAAGTGAAAAGAAAGGAGGTTTGGGCATGTGGGCTCCGAGATTTTCCTTTTGAAGGTTATCAATGCGCATGGGAACGAGGTGGAGGAACAACTTATTTCGTTGAAGAATTGATTTGGAGAGGCTCAGGCTTGTTCTTTAGAGGGTATGCTTCTTGTCATTGTGGTAGGAAGTGAGCGAGAGTTCAGGCAGAGGCCATCCAAATTTGAACATGTGTGGGCCCGGGAGGAAGAATGTTGATCTGTCGAGTAGTGCAGCAGAGCTGGAGCTCAAGTAACGGGATGGATGTAAGGTCAGTGCAGTCAAGTGTTGGGACTATGGGGTAGGAGCCGGAGATTAGGATTATATTCTCTACCCGAATCAAGGTGTGCCGTGATAGGTTGAGACATCTACAGGGTTATCATGGGATCAGATATGATGCAGAGTTTCAGAGCGTAAGAAACACACTTACCGGTCTTTTAGAGGAACAAAATATGTGTTGGAAACGAGACCCAAGAAGTTTTGGCTTCGTGAAGGAGAAATAAAGTCAAAGTTCTTTCACATCCAGTAAAATATAGAAGAACTGGATGGGTGGGTTGGGATCCGGATAGATTCTGGACTACGGATAGGGGCAGGATGCACCATTTGATGCAGGATTATTTCGAAGCTCTTTTCTCAACTAGCAACCCTTATGGTGGGGAAGTGGAATTACCGGGAGCTTTGAGGGTCTCGAGGTAAAAACAATCGCAAAATGCTTAGTGTACATGAGTTGTACACAAGTTGTACACAAAACCCCCTGGTTGTCTGTGCAGGCAATTCCTTTAAAAAGGGGCAGCACTTGATGTCAAATTATCTGTGTACACAGGCAATATACACATTTTGTGTACATTGCCTGTGTACACCAAGAATGGTCCAAAACAATCTATTACTACGCCCTACCATGCCGAGGAAGTTAAAAAGGCAGTGTTCGATATGCATCTGCATAAATCTCAAAGGGTGGACGGTATGAATTCATGTTATTTCAGAATTATTGGGATATTGTAGGGAGGAATGTTATGGACTTTTGTGTTAAGTGTTTTGATCAAGGGTTAAATTCCTACCAATGAGTGAAACTAATCTTATCTTTGTTTTGAAAGGAAAACCAATCTTATCTTAATTCCCAAAGAAAAGGAAAAAGGGTCATAAGCTCTTTTACTATGTCCAATTTGTCCCATAAGCCACTGTACTAAAAAAAATGTATCATATAAGTACGTTTACTTTTAAAATACAACCAACCAAACCATTTGACCTGTTATGGCAGGTTATTTTTTTTAATTAAATTTCGAATATTGATAAATCTTAAAAAAATTCATATAAATGTGAATATTAGCTCTCCCTTAGTCCCATTTTATAAGATACATTTCCTATTCACTTGGTCAACACAAATCACACTTAATCTTTACTTTATATATCAAAATTTTATAAAATTTGAATAATTTTTTGCAAGTTTTGTAGCAATTTTAATGTTATTTCTGAATATGTAAATTTTATTTTTTAAAACTGATTTCAGTGTTGACAGGGATCAATTTGTTTTATCGTCGGTCAAACATTGTAAACCGTAAAGTGCCTTATAATTTGGGATGGAGGGAGTAATAATTGTAAAAATATCATAAATGTAAAAATATGTAAAATTTAGAAACGCTAAAATAAAAAATAAAAAATCATCCTACCGAAAAAAGAAAGTGAAAAAAATAAAATAAAAAATAAAAAAGTTTTTTTATCATAAATAAAAAATAAAAAATTTAAAAACCTTTTAAATAGATGTAGAATATAAAAATATTTTTAAAAACTTAAGAAATATTGACTTTGATATTCTGAAAATTTTCACAAGTTTGGTATATATTCCTTCAAAATTTAACCATTTCTTCGATTTTTATACTACCTCCGTCCCATTTTATGTGTCTCACTTTGACTTGGCACGATAATTAATAAAGTAGTTGAAAAAGTAAAAGTTGTGGTTGAGGTTTGAGTATAATAAAGTGAAATTGTGTAGGCCACACGTTTCTTTCCAAAAAAGGAAAGGGGACACTTATTTCGGGGTCAACACAAAAAGAAAATTAGGACGGGTAAAATGGGACGGGGGAAGTATATTAAAAATCTGCTATTACAGGTCAAAAACTTTTTAAATGGTCAAATTGGTCAATTTTGTAAAGTAGGCGTATACGTACTTATATACGGAGTAATATTGTTTTAGTACAAGGGCTTAAGTGACAGATTGGAGATAGTAGAAGGGTTTATTTGATCCTCTTTCTAAAAAAAGAATAAGCCGAAAAGTATGGGGGATTGGAGACCGATTGCTTTATGTAGTGTAATCTATAAAACTTTTTCAAAAGTTCTTTCTAATAGATTAAAAGGAATACTCAACGATGATGTTTGTGAAAATCAAAGTGCTTTTCTTTGTGAGGAATATTTGGAAGAGGTCATTAACTTTGAAAAATCTAGTGTGTCTTAGAGCATCTCCACGGTGCACAATGTGCACCGTGGACATTGTTCACGGTCTTATTTGTTTTTGGTAAGTTTTTCTCTGCAATTTCAACCACGATGTCTACATCTAGACATTGTGCTTGACATTGTGAAGAAAAACTTACCAAAATGATATAAGATCCTTCAAATAAGGAGAAAGATATTTTATATATTGTATTTTGATTGGCTATCTCTAATGCCACGTATGCACCATTAACATATTAGGGTTGGAGATGCTCTTATAGTGCTAATGTTGATGACAGCTCTCGCACCGTGCTAAGTACAATTATGGCTGTCAACCAGGAGGTAAACTCGGGTAAGTATTTGGGCCTCCCGGCACTAGTTGGGAGGAAGAAGGAGATCTTATCTTATATCAAAGAGAGGGTGTTGAAGCGTATCCAGAGTTGGAATAATCGTTATCTATCTAAAGCGGGTAGAGAGATTCTGTTGAAGACAGTCATTCAAGCTATTCCCACATACGTTATGAATGTATTTTTACTCCCGGATAATCTGATTTCTGAAATAAAGAGGCTTATGAACGGTTATTGGGGGAAATGAAATGGTTTCAATGGTAGGGGAATCAGATGAAGATGTTGGAGGGATCTGTGTATTCCGAAAGCTCTAGGAGGTTTGGGTTTCAAACGTTTAAAAGAGTTCAATATTGTCATGCTTGGTAAGTTAGGTTGGAAGCTATTAACTGAGCTGAAGAAGCTGGTTGGCGGGTACTAAAAGCAAAGTACTATCCCCATGTTTCTTTTGCAGGGGCTATATCAGGAGCAATCCTTCCTATGTATGGTGGAGTATCTTATCTGCTCAAGAAGTTGTTGCGGGGACTCGGCGCAGGGTGGGAAACGGGATAAACATATCCATTTGGAGATCTCGGTGGTTGCCTGTAAAGGGGTCTGGAAGAATTGTTTCTGAACGGCCAGAAGGGTATTATTATGGACATGAGTGTCACGGCGTTAATACAGGAGGACGGAAAGGCGTGGAATATTCCTCGTCTAAATGCCTTATTTTCTGAAGAAGATGCTATTACTATTCAAAGTATTCCTCTTAGCATGCGCCATATAGAAGATGGGTTTCACTGGAATGATGGAGGAGGGTGTTGCTTATGCTGAAAGTCAGGATAAGGCTCTGGTGGTTGACAGCATTTTAATAATCCTGGGGGCCTTGGCAAAGTCATGGGTGCAGGATGATCCACAGAAAATTGCAATTGAAGAATCAGTTTTCACTCAATCTGATGCCAAGCTGGGGATGATAGTAAAGGGTAAAGTTCTACCCCTACAACAAGACAAATCAACTTCAGTACAACAAGACCGATGAGGTTGTTCGAGAATGAATTGGTTAAACCGGGAAATGTCATTTCTGGAACCATTGATCTAGTTATTCATGATGGTCCAATTTTTGTGAAAGGAATGAGTCTTCCGGAACATTTATACGATCATAGTAATCTTGCTGGGTTAAGTATATCTTGAAACCTGGTTTTGAAATTTACCAGGTTTTGGTTATTGATGTTGAAGGTTGCAATTTCGTACTTTCTGCCAAGGACTCAATAATGAATTTGGTCGACTAACAATGTCATTGCAGCAGTCATTATGCTCTTCAACTGATGTTTCAATTATGGAAGAAAGCGTTCTGTCAGAAAACAAGATTGACGAGCTTCTAGTCTGGGCTCCTTAGATTCTAGACTGAGCTGGGCTGATGAGTTTGATTTTGAATATCATTTGGGTGCAATCAATGTGGAACTGGATTCTACCTTTCAGGCGGTTGTGATTGATGTCTCTCATATAGGGTACCTCGTGGATCTATCTTTAAAACAAGAAACTGTTAAGGGAATCACAGCTGCTAGAACGTTGTGGGATGTACTGAACATTCATTGTGAAGCTGCTCAACAAGCAATCTGTACCCGTAGCTCTCTTCATTGGCAACCCAAACAGGAGGTTGGGAATGCTCTTATCTCTAGGTTTATAGATATCTTCATGAGGGGGGGGGGGGGGGGGCATGACCCAACAGTGTCATTGCCTCTGCTCATTCATGTGGTGGTGGAGGTAAAGAAGATGGCTCAAGTGTTGAAGCTAAAGATCCAGAACACAAGAACACAATGTTGTACTGGGAAGGGAGAGGCGCTCAGATGAAGATAAAGTTGAAGGCTATGTAGCACGGAAACTCTCGGGAAAGAGTACGTTTCCCGTTTCGGAAACTCTCGGAAACTCTTTGGAAACTCTCCAAATAAGCCTTTTTTGAACAAAAGTTAACGTTTCCCGTTTCCCGTTTCCTCATGATTTTCACGTTTCCGTGCAACATTGGTTGAAGGTCATGGCAGATTCTTATCACACAACTTCCTTGAGGACAAGGTGGTTGTCTTAAGGGGGAGATATGATAGGAACATAGGTTGAAATTAATAATAATATAAGTGGTGGTGGTGGTGGCGGCAGCGGTGGCGGTGGCGGTGGTGGTGTAAATAGAAGGGAGGGGAGAAATAAGAGGTTAGGCAGAAAATTAGTTTGGGACTTGGTCTTGGTAGTGTGGGAGACTACTCGAAGTGAATATTACTCCTATGGTCATGAGTCATACTATTTTTTTTTGGATTTTTTGATTGTTTACTTTTTAAATTTTATAATTTTTTATTTTTTATAAATTTTATAACCTTTTTTTTATGTTTTAAATTTTTAATTTTTAATTTTTTTTTTTTTTATATTTTTTATTTTTAGTTTTTTTTTTTAATTTTTTGATCTTTAAATTTTTAAAATTTTAATGTTTTTAATTTTTCAAAACATTTTATTTTTTACCTTTTTTTGTATTATATCGTTTTGTCCCTTCACGTAAGAGATGAATAGTTTGTGGTTATCAACATGTTTCTTTCGAAATACCCCGATTTGGGGGGTTTGGAATGGGAGGAAGTGGAGGATTTTGGAAGTCTTCCACTTTCCTTCCCTTCTCTCCTATTTCCTTCAACCAAACACACACAAATCCTCCACTTCCCTCCCCTCCCCTCCCCTCCCCTCCGAAACCCTCCAACCAAACAGGGCCTAAATTTCCGTGTACCTAACAGAATGATGATCCAAAAGGTCAGTATTCTGTTCACAGTTGCTACAGGAGGCTGGCAGGTGAATTTCAATTGTCATTTTGGAATGGTTGGACAGCGGACTGGAAGTTTCGGCTGCCAGCCTGCCACCTAAAATAAAGCTATTTTTTCTGGCAGTTTGCACTAGGTTGATTACCTAGGACTGATGTCCTGAAGAGGAGATCAATTCAAATCCAGGGCTGCTGCCCAATTTGTAGGGTGGAGGAGGAGACAACAGGTCATTTGTTTTTAAATTGCCCAATTATCCATGGCATTTGGGGAGAAGTGGGGCTACTGTCTGTGATGCAGGGGATGTTGTCATAGCTGCAATCCAGAAAGCTTTTCTTCTTTAGTTGAGGAGGACATTTGTAAGTTAATCGTGATTTTATGGGGGGTATGGAAAGGGAAGAATGTGGTTGTATGGAGAGGGGAGGTTTTCTCTATTACAGGGGTCAAGCAGTTTCCCTTCTTTATGTTGGCAGGCTGGAGGGCTGTCCTAAAGAGACTCGTCACAGGAGAAATACCAGCTTGAATCAAAGCGACCAGTGGACCAGGCCTTTGGGCTTAGGGCCGTGTCAGAAGGAACTGTCGGGGCAATGTTCTATGTGCTAGGAGTTGGATGAAAAAGGCTTTTTCGCCCCCGGTGGAAGCGGAGGTGATTGGTGTTAGGGATGCTATCCTATGGCCTAAAGAGATAGGGTGGAATAAAGTAGTGATTGAGACTGATGCAACGTTGGTTGTGTCGGCACGGTTCACCAGGCCGCCTGACCCGTGAACCGGCCCAGTACTTTTCTGACCAGCCCGGCCCGGTGACCGGGCCTCTGACCTGTCCGGGTAGGCCCGGCCCGAGGGTTACATAGGGCGGGCTTGGGTCCTTCAAAAGTGGAACCGGCCCGGCCCTGCCCGGCCCGATCGGGCCAATTTTTTATTTTTTTTTAAATTTTTTGTTTTCCAATTTATTTTTCTTTTTCCTGGGTTGGGTTGGGTTTAGGGGGTGGGGGGAAGGGGGTTAATTACAAAAGCAAAACAAAAAAAAAATTAAAGTTGAATCAGCCGGAGACCCGCCAGGCCCGGCCGGTTCCGTGCCTCCCCCAAACCTCAAAAGCCTGGCTGGGCCTAGGCCTGACCCGGCCCGGTCCATGACTACAATGGATGTAGTTTTTGATGATATAAATTTTTTGATTGTGAGAACGAGAGCATCAACATTCGTTGGTGCAGGCGCTTAGCAAATTAGGTCACTCATGCTACAACGAGAGTTGCTCTCACTACGTGAAGTTAGTTACTACGTATTTAAAGGAGTGTTTGGGGTTGCTTAAAAAAAAGTGCTTTTCAGCTTTTGACTTAAAAAAAGTTGAAAAGAGTGTTTTTCAAATGACAGCTTCTGCTCAAATTAATCACTTAAAAGCTAAAAGCTGGAAGTAGGTAGAAGGGTGCTTTAAACTGCTTCTCACTTTTTCTATTACACAAAAGTATTTATTTTACCAAACACTACCAACTTTTACTTTTTCAGAATCACTTTTCTCAAACACTACCAACTTTTACTATTAATCACTTTTCCCAAAATCAGTTTAAAAAATTATTTTTTTAAAGTTGAAGCAATTGCAAACACTCACTAAATCCGCCAAGCTATATTGTAAGCTATTTGGTAAATGATCTTTTAATTTAAGTGTTGACCTTTTTAAGAAACAAGAATTACACGAAAATTTAGAAATATTTTACATAGAGGAAAATATTTTAATACCCGGCAGATGGTGCAAGTATTGTCCTCATCATCTTGGTTAGGATGATAGACATCTGGAGTGACATCGAGCCAGGATGATAGCAAATTATAATCTCGTGCGTATGTTATAGCGTACCATAAGAGTGTTAGAAGACCTAGAACAATCTCTACCAGCATCGTGGTACCTAGGTGAAATTACAAAATAAACAAATAGCGCAACACAACTAAGAAAAAGTATAGCAAAACGATGACGCACGACATAAATCTAAAATCCTTAATTTACTTAGTCATGTGGAAATATAAAAAAGAACATCATTAAATTGTTGAATATAATAGAAATCCTTAGCGTTCTTCTTCACCATCATTCTAGGTTAAATATTACTGATTACTCTGTAGTTCTAACTTAATTTATAGTTGAACCTTGAGAGCTAAGATTCAAACCATATTAATTACGGAGTAAGTTGTAAAATTGCACAAACATGATACAGCAAAAAGTCATGTACGCTAACATTACTAGAAATGAAGTCATTAATGATTTCTCTAAAATTTTAATATTCTTTCAATACATACCAAAATATAACATAAGTTATCTAAAAAAAAGAAAAAATAACAATATATATTATATATATATATAAACACACACATTTAGTTATTTTAAGGACGCATAAATACATACTTGGGTTATAAAATTGTTGGTCTATAAGAGAGATCTATTGAATTGGTATAAAAAATATAAAAATTCAAGTGCATTACTTTCAAACAGTTCGGTCCGGTATTTTTCGGTTCTCAAAATCTAAGACCGGTCCCATACCTGTTTCAAACGGTACAATTTTGGTACAGGACGAAAATATATAGAACTGTTTAAATACCCGGTATTCGGTTCGGTACCATTACGGAACGGTTCGGTGCCGGTTCGATTCAGATTTTATGCCCACCCCTAATTATTGGGAAACATACATTTGCTATATTGGAACCAGACCTTCTGTGAATTATCAGTCCATTTTTCTACTTTCTACTTTCAAAACAAATATTTTCAGATATAGAATTTGAAAAATGTCTCTCCAAAGTCTTTGGACGGAACCAAGATGTGATCAAGAGGGGGGCCTGGGTGAAATTAAAATAATTAAATAATACTCCTTAACATATAAAATACACATGCAATAAAGATTAAATAATGTACTATGTAGTATCTGCTATAGCAATTATACTTGCTGGCACAATTGAAAAATGTACTCCGTACGACGTAGTATTTACTAAAACCTCCAAAAATACATGAGTAAACGCCATGGAATTAAAATTTAGAAATGGTGCTTGTATGTCATGAAAACAAGTGCTCTACTGGTTTAATACCTGGACTCTAGCTAAATGCTTACAAAAAACAATCATATATCTAAAAAAACTAATTGATGAAAAAGTGGGAATACTTAAATTACTTTGACTCTTAAATAATTAGTAAAAGTTAATATTTTTACCTTAATAGATTATAAAAGTCATATAATGTTGTTAAGGTTTGAATAAGAAGTGATATTTGTCCTGCTCAATCGATGGAAAATGCTCCAGACTATTGAGCACACTGCTACTTTCGTCCATGCCCTCTGTTATTCTAAAGCCGGCAACACAAATGGGCAGACCGGCAACAATTCACATGTATTCATACTTATTTTTATTTATTTATTAATTCTTGGGCTTCATGCCCAACCATGAACCGCTCAAATGCACATCACACAATCATACGGAGCAACAGTACGTCAAAAATAAAACGTTTGGTGGGAGGGCAAAAAATAAAATAACTAATACTACTAGATCCGTCCCTGTCCAAAGAAAACAGATACATAGTTTTTGCAGCAATTGAAGCCTGAAACGGATGGTTGACCATGAGAATATGGTATTCATCAATATTGGGAAACAAACATTTGCACCAATGAGAATCTGGTATTCACCTTGTGTGAATTATCAGTCCATTTTTCTACTCTCTACTTTCAAAACAAACATTTTCAGATCTAGAATTTGAAAAATGTTTCTCCAAAGAAAACAGAAGTTGAAAAATTCAAGCTGATATTGAAAATAGAAGCGTGAACTGAATAGACAAACATATAGTAATAGTGTTAGACTGTTAGTGAAATGGATGATCGACAGAGAATCTCGTATTCATCATTATTGCACATTTGCACCAATGCTCAATCAATATTGGGAAGAGCATCAATATTGGGAAGAGCTGATGTACCTGTAGACTGTGAGAGTGGAGCTGATGAGCAGAACCGGGAATCGGGAGCTAATGTGTCCGTCTGGGATTGATCGATATCTTCGTCTACGGCATTCGTCCCGGGAGGGGAGTGATTTGGAGGGAGGGGAATGATTTGGAGGGGGAATGATCGTCGTGGGTGTGGGTATCCGTGCCTTGAGCAAACGATATTTTGGACTGTAGTGTAGGCGTAGTGCAGCATGCAATATTTGAATCAACTTTGAATGCATAATTAAAACCTTTTTATTTCTTCTAATTTCGATTCAAATTATTTAAATATGATATAATCTCATTTGATGTGTTGTGGCTTGTCTTCTCAAATTTGGTTTATTTGGTCTGATCCATCTGATAAAATATTTGATTTCTATGTGCATTCTTTTTTTAACCCGAAACACAAACCACCAAAATCAGTGGGGCAAATGTCAGGAAACATTTGTCAAATTTTATGTACTTCATATTTTATAACTGTCAAAATTTGGTCTAATCTGGTTTGAATTGATCTGGCAGATATCTGGTCTCTGTGTCTTTTATAACTGTTGAAGTTTGGATTGGTCTGCTCTAGTCGGTTAAAGTCTAATTGGAGTTGTTTAAGTCTAGTCTGATCCGGTTCAGTCTGGTTCTGGATCTTAAATAAGTACAAGTAAAAACATGTTAAATATAATACATGGTAGAAGATATATTTCAGAGTTGGGATGTTTTTACTTGGTCCGTAATCTGTACCAGACCAGACCATATCAAACCAAAACAGACCAGACCAAACTTGGATAGTTATAAAAATACAAAGAGACCAGACATTACTAAATCAGACCAGTTTAGATCATATCAGATCAGACCAGACCAGATCAGCAAATTAAAGCCCAAGTAAAAACATCCTTGGTATGCGATAACATGCATGTATAATCACGTACGTATATCTTACATATTTAGACCAATTTGTCAACACTCACGTTATCTGAATTTGTTAAAATTGATGAAATTATGATGGGAGCGACCGAATATGCTGGTTATGAAAAAAATTATTTATAAAATATTTCATTAACAAAATAAAGTAAAAGTTATACAAAAATAGCTAAAGTGGTACCCTGCGGTAACATTAGTCAATTCAATCAGAAAAGTAACAATAACTTTATTTTGATTATTACATAATTCACTGCGTGAAATTAAAGATAATTGTGTCTATTTCATAAATTGGGTCATTGGACTAATAAGCTGATATGAGGATTGCAAAATAGGCTCTTAATTATTCACATTCATTTGAACTTTTCCCTATGTATAAAAAATTAAACGTAAGAGTAAAAACGTTTGAAAATTCCAAAATACGAATATTATATTTTTATTCTATAAATAAGAGTAATCAATTCTAAACTCGGAAAATATTGCTACATTTAAAGCCCATTATGCTCATAATGCCAAAATATGACAATAAATTTTCAAAATGACAATAATATACTCATATTTAGGGAAACACATACTCCGTATAACATGCATGTTTTTCATGTTTTAGAATTCTTAAAAAATCCTATTATAATGTTTTATTCATATTTAGGGAATTTTCCCTTTAAACTTAAAACTAAATCTATTAAGAGTATAATATTCAAGTTTTGGATGATAATAATTTGAAGCAATTTTACAGTTACCAACCTTTAAATGTCACTCATATATCCATCTATGATCTATCTTAGGCCTGGACTCGGGCCAGTTCGGGCCTGGGCCCGGCCGGGCCTCGGTTCATGAAAGGGGAGGCCCGGAACCGGCCCGGGTAACCCCCGGGTCTGGGTCGGGCGGGGCCGGGCCTCGGTTCAATTAATTTTTTTTTTTTGCTTTTCCTAATTTACCCCCAACCCTCCCCCCTCACCCCCAAACCACCCCAAACCACCTCAAATGGCCCAAAATACCCAACCCAACCCAAAATCTTAAAAAAAAATGGCCCGGACCGGGCCTGGATTGGCCGGGCCGGTTCACATTTTGAGGGGCCCGAGCCCGGACCGGAACCCCAGCAGGTCGGGCCTACCCAGACCGGTCCCTGGCCGGGTCGGCAGTTCAGGCCGGTTCAAACAGTGACCGGTTCGGGCCGGTTCCGGGGCGGGCCGCCCGGCCCGAGTCGAGGCCTAATCTATCTATCTATACTGAATTAACTGCTCTTCGGCTTATTCTTTGGACATTTACGTAACTTCTCACAAGCATATACTATGAAGTTTTAATCTTCATGTTGCATATACTCATATTTATTTTAGATCTAAATCTTTACTTTGCGATTTGCTGCAACGAAACACTCATTCAAAGTTAGACATGCATTCGAATTTTAATAGTTTACACTTCTATATGAATTTATTTTACACTTACATGAACTTGTGGTTGGTTAATATTCTGGGTTTTTACGCTTTTCATTTCACCCTTCTAGGGTAAGTCATATAAACAGACCAAATGGCCTATTTGCGGGCAAGTTGTGAACTCTCACTTGGATTTTTTTTTTTTGCGAGTGGATTTTGTTAAAAAGAGCTATATTAACGTAAAAGTGGAGAGCCCTCCGTATGATTTTTACACTTTTAATTCTATGCACCCTCCTAGACTGCATACTTAGAGTACAAAATTAACACAAGTTTCTTAAATTCAATAATCAGAAACTACCCACCTTCATTTTTCTATTTGATTTGTCACTTTTTGGTTGTTTTTTCATTGATTGTAGTTTATAGTCTTTTGTAGATTTGTAGGTTTATGCTTCTCCAATTCTATTAATTTATTTAACCATACTTGGAATAAACTCTACATAATTTGAAAAGGACTGGTGGGCGTAGCTCAACTGGTAGCGAGGGAGTGTCACAAGAGTTAGGTCCCGGGTTCGAATCCCGGCAACTGCGATGAGAGGTTACTATGCTAAAAATGCACAGAGCCTCTGCAAGTACCGAGGACGGAGCCCCACTCTCTATCTCCCAGATTGTGATTATAGTCCAATTTACATCCTCCCATCGTGCCGTCCGGTCGGTGTTGGGGGGCCCTCGGGGATGGGGTGTCATCCTTTTTTTTACATAATTTGAAAAGGATATAGCCAATGAGAGTAAGTAATTTGTGTTAATGTTCCTATCGGTTAGTTTCATGTGTTAAACGTAGGGTAAAATTGTCTCCCACCCACCCAAACTTGGGTCCGCCAAACCAATCGGTGCAGTGCGGCGTTTAGCTTCCAACACCAAGCTCTCTGCTCGAGCTTCTGCCGCCATGGTGAACGTTCCAAAGACCAAAAAGACATTCTGCAAGTCCAAGGAATGCAAGAAGCACACATTGCATAAGGTCACTCAGTACAAAAAAGGAAAGGATAGTCTTGCGGCTCAGGAGAAGCGTCGATATGATCGCAGACAATCTGGTTATGGTGGACAGACCAAACCAGTCTTCCACAAAAAGGCCAAGACCACAAAGAAGATTGTCTTGAGGCTGCAATGTCAGGGATGCAAGCATGTTTCTCAGCACGCAATCAAGAGGTGCAAGCAGTTTGAGATTGGTGGTGACAAAAAGGGGAAGGGAGCATCTCTTTTTTAAATTAGTCTTGGAATATCATATGTAGTATGTTGTTTTATTTTGTTTGTTATATCATGGAGGTTCTAATGCTACAATTTATTTTTGTCAATTTTGTTGGCTTCGATGTTGGATTTATATTACTGAAATTTCAGACTGCTACTTAAAGAAAAAGAAACCTTTGAAATACAATTATGCTTGGGTACACATATACACATGGTGTACACAAAGTGTACACTCTATATAAATACAAATACCTCATAATTTTTACCATTCCACTTTAAAATATTTACCCTTTTTTCTCCCCCTTCTCTCCTTCCTTTTCCTCTCTCTTCTCTGCGCCCTTTCTTCTTTCTTCCGTAGCCTCACTCTCCCCTTTCTCTTCTTCTTGCTTTTCATTGCAATCCTTTTCCCATTAACAATCAGAAGTCATTAATTTGTCTATTTGGGTTCTCACAATTGAATAGGGGGCGCTGCAGACCTGAAAGTCATTGCCGCCTGGAGCCGTCACCGCCTGGATGCTGCCGCGACCTGGAAGTTACGGGGCCGGCCACACGCCTGCGAGTCAGACACGAAGGATAGATTTCCGACCTAGCAAATTGCCGCCGACCCACTTCCACCATGGTATTCATTTCCCCTTCATCTTCCTTCCATCCAACCTCCTTAACCCTAACTCATTAGACAATAATTTCCCACTTTTCATTATTCTGGTTTAGAGTTTTAACTCTATATTTTGTTCTTTTAAATTTTATGTTTGATTGATATTGAAATGATATTTGTTTTAAACTTTTGTTTCACTATTATTTGAGAATATTATTCTTTTTGTTCATAATGTGTTTGATAAATTGTTGTAATGAAATGTTGTGTATCTCCATGAGGCTACAATAGTCCCATTTCCCCTCTATTGATTAATCAGGCTCAAGTAATCGAATTATGTTATTTATTTTATGTTAAATATGAAGATGTTTATAGTTTTTGCATTTTCTGTTATTTATACTTAATGAAATGCTATGTATCTCAATTTCATTTTCTTTTATTTATATTTTTCCTTGGATGTGTATTGAGTTTCGTTTATGTTATGTTAGTAATTTTCACGCATACTCCATTTCTTGAATTTGAACAAATGAAGCTTAAAATTAAAGTATTTGTTTGATGTTAGTAATCTTATGATCTTGCTTAATACTCACCGACTTTTCTTCATAACTTTTAAAGAACCTTGCTTGATGCATGTGCTTGATTATGGAGGGAGGATATGCACCCCTATGGGTGAGGAGCTTTGAAGAGGGGAGAGGTCTTCTTAATCAGGAAGAGTATGTGAAGACATTTACTCCTTGCATTGAATTGAGGCCCAATGGGTTAGTGTGTGAGGCTTCTAGGAAGACTGGGATGGTCATTTTAGATATTTTTAGCTCTTGTTGATACACTCATGGATTCTTCGAGTAAAATGAACTCATATCTCATCTCATTCCTTAGTGTTCTTTAAGCTCTATGGGGTTATGCTTGTCTCATATTGTGAAAAGGTTTTTGCAGGTCAAGTGAGGTGAGATGTTCCCATGCCTTGTTGAGAGCTTCAACAACGGATGTGATATCAAATGAAATGAGAGGGATCAGGAATGGTGCACGCCATCGGGTAATGCACTATTTTTTCCCGAAGTTTTGGTGTACATTTGCAACTTTTTTAAAATCAAGAAACTTGTTTTCATGGCATAAGTGGGAAAATGTTAAAACTAGTGTTCTTTTAGATGTAATATGTTCGCATTTTCAATAAATGTTTGCTTAGTTGTAAGTGAGATAGTGAATAATTTAACAAAAACTTCAAGAACAGACACATTAAATAAAATGGAATGTTACTTTTTCAAGAATTCAGTGTAAATAGGAGTAGAAAATGAGTCATTTGTAGAAATAGGAGTTCTATTGTCCGCGCTAAATGTAAGAGTAAATCCTTCCTCAAAAGGAACTAAAGTAGTTAACATTTCTTTTTTATGAGTGAATTAGTTCTATTTTTAGGAGAGAGAGAAAAAAAAAGAATAGCCCATATATTAGAGGACGAGTCACATCATATCAAGGTCCCTCCAAGTTTTAGCAACAAAAGAATCCAAGTGAATTTAGCTCGGTTCCATACTATAAAGTGTCCATGGACTGAATTTCAATTAATTTAACACTAGATACAAATAAAACAATACGGAGTAGTTTTAAAGTCTTCAATAAACAAGTATTAGAAAACTGATCCTTCTAGATGCTTCTAGGAATTGATTATAAGCCCATATATGTCCAACTTGATGTGGTCCAATAGTTATTCTCATCTTAGATTTAGAGCAAATTCATTCATCACAAAAGAGTTGTGCACTTGCAGGAGATCAAGAACGGAAAAAGGAGAAATTGGGAAGGAGTCTGACAGATGCCCTGAAGCTTGTTTTGCTTATTGGTAGGTAACTGGGTACTACAAATTAATCGGTTATGTTTGATGATGTACAGCTTTTTAATGGTCAATTATACCACTTGCACATTTTTTCAAGATTATTTTGAGTTGACCTTAAGAACCGGCTGTTTGGACTGACATAATATCTTATACTCCCTCCGTCCCAATTTGTGTTGCAAAATTGACTTTTTGGGGGTCAAGTAGACTCATTTTATTCACTTAATTAGGACATCAATTCTTAATTAAGTTTTAATTTGGATTTGTAGCTTTATAGAGATCTTAATGTAGCTTATGAATATGTAGATTTTAGTTATTAAAATTGAATTAATTATCAATAGGAAGGATTTAACTTCAGTTTGAGCGAGTCAGTTTATTGTTCTTCCATGCGGTGAGAAATATTCCATAATAAGGTCCAATTCAGGACTTTGAATTGTAGTATTAGTCCCCTTGATGATGCGGTTTTTTAGCCAGTAATACATCTTTTCCTTTCCTTTTTCTCCTAAAGCTTAACATTTTGATTTACAGGTTTAGTTGTTATCACATTTGGTCCAAGCTATTCATATTCCCTCATCAGATTGCTGTATGGTAGAAAATGGAGCGATGGAGAAGCTACCAAAGTACTCCAATGTTATTGCCTTTATGTGATAGTTTTGGCCACGAGCGGTAAATTTTTGCAAATATAACTTGGTTGTATTTTGTTTGTCGGTTAAGATATCCTGAAGTTGGCTTTTGCCGAATTTTATGCTACATAGTAATGTTGATTGTTTTATCTGCTTGTTTGGAAATATAAGATATTGGATTTTCAATTAGGGACGTCTGAAGCATTTCTACAGGCAGTTGCAACAAAGAAAGAACTTAAACGGTCAAATGGTTCATTGCTTGCCTTCCCATTGATATATGTGATCATTAATGTCTTGCTTATCAGATCAGCAGGCGCAGTTGGATTGATTTTAGCAAACTCTCTGCGTATCCTTTTCAAAATTTCTCTAATTGAGGTCATTCGAATTTGAGAAGTTATGTGTTGATTAATTGACGGTCCATATAGTCTATGCTTCTGGCCTTCTTTGACTGCAACAGATATGATCCTCAGGATAGTTTACTCAGCGGTTTTCATCAAAAAGTATTTCAAGGTAGCATAGCTCTGATATTATTAATTCATACATAATAATAGTTTTGATTATTTCTTTGACATTTTAGAATTGCCGCAGGAATCATCATCCTTTGCGTTTAGACCTTGCATGCCTGGAGGTTATGAATTTGTGTTGGTTTCAGGAGTAGCCACCTTCATAGTTGAAAAGATGTACCTTAACCGAGACAGCTTCTCGGCCACCTTTACCGTTCACTTCTCATTTGGTTTATTCTGTTTTCTTGTGGCCGCTTTCATAATGTGAGTATCATTTTATGCATTTTTTCTCTTATATCATGTCAATGCACTCTTCTATTTGAGTCTAGACCTTTGGGGAAAGAGTGTATACATTACACATAATGCATATAGATGTGTGTGTGTGTGTACATATGCATAAATTTGTATGTGTGTGTCTATATATGTGTGCCTGTGTGTATATATAATATGTATTATGTATGTGCATCTAGATTTTGGATCAAATAAAGTGTCTTTCTCATTAGAAATAAGAATAAATTAGGTGCATCAGATTTAGGATACAATGGCTCGAATATGTACAATATGCATTAGGTTAAATTAAAAATATGTAAATTACATTTCTCAAAATAATTTAAAGTGTTTCTTCGTTGCAAAAGGTGCATTTCCTGAATGCGGTAGTGTGCTATATATAATCAAAAGTGGAAAGTGAGTAGTGGGATATATATGATCAGAAGTGAACTCTATATGTGTGTCAGTGTGTGTTTGCAAAACGGCACACACGTTGTCCTTGATGTGTGCCCTTCTATTGATTGACTAATTCTATTTATGATAATTTTTATGATCAGCTATCAAAAGGAGAGGCCTTTTATCGCGAAAATTATACGCTTCCGTGAACACGCTGATTGAATGTGCTAAAGAATTACATCTTGGTTAATAGGGTTTGTGAAAAGTTTTTCTCTATTTCAAGATCAAGGAATCATAAGCACCGATGATTACGAGGATATTATTGTCTAATGATACGAGGATTACGAGCATTTCTGGTATACTATGCTTGCTACCAGATGTTCACCCCACACTTTTTATAATTCATTTGCCTTCCACACCAGTAGAGTAGATAATTTTAGTTTTTCAAGGGAAAATTGGCCCTCTGCACAATCTTAAAAATGAAAAAGTACTAGTGTAACACCCAGGGCATGCCCCGGTAGTGTTACTTTGATAATTATTAAAGTAATAAACATCAATGGAGATTAGGGGTGGAGCCGGGCCCAGCCTAGGCCCCGTTGGGCCTTTTGTGTTCGGGGAAAGGCCCCGGACCGGCCTGAGTTGCAACCGGGTCGGGCCTTGCCTCGGTTCAGTTTTAATTTTTTTTCCCTTTTTCAAATTAACCACCGACTCCACCCCGCCTCCCAAATCACCCCAAATGGCCCAAAATACCTGACCCAACCCAGGAAATTAAAAAACATGAAAAAAAAAAAAAAGAATAAAGTCCGAACTGGGCCCAGGATTGACCGGGCCGGCTTCATATTTCCCTGACTCGTACCTGGCCTGATT